CCCCAAAACCCCAAAACCCCAAAACCCCTAAATGCTTGATTAAATTCAAAATTGATAACAGAAAAAAAATTAAGAATAATTACATTTAATTTAATATCTTTAATGAGTTAAGACCCTTTAATAACAAAAGATTGCAAAGAACCGTAAGATTCGACACCTGAACAAGATTATTGCATTTCAAGAGAATTGAGTTCACTAGGCGTATCAAATTTCTCTCAAAACTCTCTCATCAGTTATTATTCAAAAGAAAGACTAGTTCCAATACAAATATCTTTGTCATCAAGATATGTGTGCTTACTTTTTGAGCCAGAAAATGGTATTTAATATTACCATATACTCCAGAGATATTCAAATGCCCTCCTACACTAAGCCTATCTTGAAAAGATTGTATCTACATTCCATCTTTATGATCCTATGGATTGTGGAGTAAAATCTATTGAAGCTGATGGAGATGCTCATTTGATTTTCTCCCTTATTTCAAGCTATGACAATGATGTAGACAGAATCAAAGTTTTGAGAATTAAAAAGAACAATCATGTTTTCGATATGACTTATGCTGCACCAGGCGAAACAAGAACCTATCTTACTTTTTAATCGGTTTCAATTGATTTCAGATATCTTGCTGCATGCAGAAGAGTTTAAGTTCCATCAGAAGAGGCCCAAGATCACAGTACTTAATATTAAAGAATAAGGACAAGGTTCCTCAGTATTTCAGATGGCGAAATATAGCAATGTGCTGAAACAGAAGATGACATTGTACTAAATCCACTCAATCTCTAAACAAAAATTACCTTTGTTGGCACTACTGGGAAAGCCCTTATTTGTTTATTAAAAACAGATTTGAGTCTCTATGACGTCAATGCAAAATAGTATCTTAGCAGGCTTCCATTTTTTTCATATCAAGGTATAGAGATCGGATACTATATGGATATTAAATAGTACTTTTTAATCGACAAATCAAAGGGGAAAGAATATTAGATTGAAATAACTAATGATTAAGTTCAGCTAATAGACTCCTCTCCAGTAGTAAACATAGAAGAGAGCGATGATATTGGTTTTTCAATCTCAAGCATTCCTTATTAGTATTCCACAAAAGGCATGACTCCAATTTATTCAGTCTAGAATAACACTAGTTTTTGTGTTGCTTAATAAGCATTTGAGCTCACCATTGATAATATGAAATACTCAAGATCAATTATTTTACCAAGACTCAAAGTATGCTACACAATTTCAAATGTGGAGCCTTACCAGACTGTTGTCTTGGATTTAAGCAATCTGGACATTAGCTTTGTCACTACAATTCCTACAAGAAATCTCAGCTATGGGTGTGATTCCTCAACTAATTGCTCTCGTTTTATATTATCAGACTCTGACTATAAAAAAAGTGATATTTGTTAGGGTATCTCTCTAATCTCTACTCTTTCATCATTCTTCAAAGAAAGATTATATCCATTGAGGGCTAATAGAGTCAGGAATGTTGGAGCATTCTCTTGCTCAGGTAAATATCTTTCAATGAAAATTGATGGTACCTTAAAGATATTTGACCTAATGGAAAAAGTTGAAATTTTTAGTGCTGTTGGAATGAAAGCTCTGTTCTCTGATAACTAAGAAGCATTTGTACTTCATGTTGGAGGCTTCAATTATCAATACTTTGCTATTAACGATTAGGGCAAATTCGAATTAAGAAACCCTTTTATCAAGAATGTAGCCTCAAGAGTTGACTTTATGCCGGGATCAAATACTAAATTGGTCATTTATGATGAATTTTACAACACTCTAGTAGTCAGAGATATGGAAACTAACAAAGTTACCAAACTTGTAAAGAAAGTTACTTTCCAAAGCAGCAAGTATACTCTTCTTACAGACACTCTCTTTGCTTATCAAGAAACTAGAGTTACTTCAAAAGGAAAACAAAATGTTCTAGTAATATTCAATTTCAAAGAATAGCATCCCGAAATTGAGTTGTTTACTGAGGATCAAATTCTTTGCGTTAAGCTTTCCTCTGATTCTAAATTTATTTATGTAGCAACTTCTTCATGCATTAAGATCCTGGACAAGAATAATTTGGAAAAGACTATGTGTTCTTACTCAGTTTCAAATGTTATTGAGATCATTGAAAAAGAAGACTAGACATACTTAATCTGCAAACATGATGAATCTACTCATCAGATACTTGGAGTAAAGACTCTAAATCCTATACTTAAAACTAAACTACAGACTAATCATGATTCATTTACATCTGGATAATTCATTATGAAATATATTATCCAAGGACTACAAAATGAGGACTAATAAGTCAAAGAAAACGCAATCATTGCTTACAGACAATTTCATTAATTAGGTATGGTTGATACACACTACGGGAAAAATGGGGATACTATTCTTCATTATCTAATATAAAACAATGATTCTAGTTTACTCAATTCTTATTTCAGCGATGTTTCTGAAGATCATGATTTATATCATTGCTCATTTGCAGGAAAGAGCCCTCTCTCATACGCTTATGAAAGTAATAAGATGCAGCATATGAATATCATGCTAGAATACTTTATAAGTAACCCTAAAAAATTCTTTGCTCTTTCTGAAGATCTTTTAAATTTAATGGAATGCTCACTCCCATCAGCAAAGACAATGATTGTCAATCTATTTTAGACTCCTCATTTATTTAAATGCTCATTACCCTACTAAATCCCTTCAAGTGAAAGTATCATTTTGCTCCCTATAGAGGGTAATCAATTAGGAGTTCCACTATGCAACACTATTGTCGAGAAATTCTAAGAATCAGAGGGGGATAGCGTGACTGTTTAGCTAGCTACCACTAAATTTTTGTATAACTTTGAGAGGGGATCAAAATCAAGTCTTGAATTCTTATCTAGATATGCAAATGAAGATTCAGAGGAAGTTGTAAGATCTAAACTTAGACTTATTATACTTTATAAATATGAAGAATGCTTAAAGTTCTTAAAATTATAGACTGGAATTTTCTTTTTACTTCTCTCCCTTTACATGTTGAGGTCAGTTTTCTTTAGGGATTCAATTACTCTGACAACTATAGTGCTTTTGCTAAATACAGTATTTGTTGGATATGAAATCAACCAAATGGTAAGAAGTGGTCTTAAGGGCTACTTTGACAGTATTTGGAATTACACAGATATTACTGGTTTCATGTTACTCTATGTAGGAGTGCTTGGTCCACTAATTCTGACTGTCAATGAGAGTGATTTCTTCTCTCAATCCATTATTATGATTGATAACATCACAGTTATGTGCTTGCTTTTGAGAGGTATGTCTCATTTAAGAATCTTTAGTAACCTCAGATATCTTATCAATATGATTGTTGAAATCATCAAGGATATGTCAAGTTTCTCAATCCTTTTGATCTACTGGATGATTGGATTCAACTTGATGTTCTACTCATTTAAGTATCAAAATGAAATGAATGGCTAAGAAAACAAATCTTTCAATTAAGACATTTCAAGTAGCGTATTCTTTACTGAACTACAACAGACTTACAAGCTCTCATTTGGAGATTTCGACACTGAAGGCTTTAATGGATTCCAATGGGCTCTTTTCGTAATTTCTTCTTTCTTCATTCCTCTTGTGCTGTTCAATCTAATTATTGCAATCATGGGAGATACCTATGATAGAGTTTAGACTTCAGCTGCATGTGTTGATCTTAAGGAATAAGCCAATCTTATTCTAGAAGTAGAGGGATTACTCCACTGGAAACTAGACGCTGGCGAAGAGAGAAGAACTCTTATTTGCTATAGCGAGGATCTCGGCGATGAAGTCAGTGATTCAGCTGCCTGGGAAGGCAAGATCAAGGGTCTCATTAAAAAGATGGATAGAATCGAAGAGAAAATTGATCAAACAGCGTAGTATGCTAGAATTACTAACAAATTAGTTACTCAGAACTTCCAAAACATGAAGCAAGAGATGATCTCTGCTCTTGGAATGGAAATCAGAGCTCAACTTAAAAAGTCTTAACAACAGTGAGTATTTTTAAGAAAATCACTTGGCTTGCTGTTGAACCAAAATTACCTAAATTTACAATATTCGATTTAATTTACTGAAAACACTCAAATATAGAAATATTTCAAGTACGGGGTTTTGGGGTTTTGGGGTTTTGGGG